AATTAAAATTAGAACAAATGTAAAAACAAGTATAATTTTGTATGAAGCATTAAAGTTATAATAAATTGTTCTTTTGAATTGGAAAGTGACTCCTATTTTGACAGGAATTTTTAACAAATACTTGTTGTTCCTATGTAATTTATATAGGGATGCCAAGTAATTTATAAATAATTTATATTTCTTCTTAATTCCATGTAAAACTTTATTTAGGAATTTATGTAGCATGAGCTAATTATACTGTAGTAGTGTTAAACATACTGTAATTTATGTGCAGAAATTAATTAAGCTTCTGGATGATTATATACAAAATAAATTTATATAATTAGATATACAAACAACCTAATGAATGCTACTAATCAAACATAACGAGTGGATTCTTATTGGGCTATTGTGAGGCTAATTATTAATTTGATATTAAACAAATCGGACTAGAGATAGGTGATTAAACTGCTACCTCATGTTAAATTTAATAATTAGAAATAAATAAATTTAATTTAGAATATTCTGAAAGTAAAGATTGGTTTGGAACAAAACTTAAACTTGCAACTCTTGCTTACTGTGCCAAGCAATTTAAAAGATGTGTTACTGCATGGTATGCCCGTTTCTGTACTTGGACTTATGTACAATCTTTACTTTGTGTTCAAATTAAAAGTCAGTGAGAAGATTGGGCAGTATGGTTATGTCAAAATTTAATTAATTAATTAGTATGGATGTAAAGGTAAAGATCAGACAAAGATCTTGGTAACATAACTGGCAAAGCATTTGCACAGTAAGCAGGAATTGTGGGTTTGATTTCCATTCCAGGACAATGTTCTTTCACATTATTCTAAATTAAATTTATTTATTTCTAATTATTAAATTCAACACCAAATGGCAGCACAGTTACCTATCTCTAGTTCAAATTTCTTAACATCTGGTTGATTAATTAGCTTTGTAGTAGCCCTATAAGAATCTGGCTTTAACATTTGATCAAAATAAAGTTTTTGCCCAAAGCTTTTACTACAAGCTTTATAAAAAACACAAAAGTATTTTAAATATATTTAAAATTGCAAAGTACTATTTATTGTATTTCTTGCCTTATAAGATGTATTAATATTTTGTTTTCAAAAGACAATAAATAAATCCTGTTTGTTATAAAGGAATAACCAGTTATGTAGTTTGGGGTTTATTATTGTTATAAGATGCTAAATTCTCTAATTTTGATACAGTGCTCTTTAGACTAACCAAAATGAAGTACATTTAATTATAAATTACACTACATGAAAAATGATATATGATAATACACATGTTCTTAAAGACTCATTAATAATTTTTTTTAGGTTTTGGCAACATATTGTCAAAACATCTAGTAGAATAATTTAAAATGGTTATCTCAATGAGTCTTTTCTTTGGGCTACAACTTCTAGAAAGCTTACACAAGCTACATAAATTCCTAATAACAATAAAATTCTGAAAGCCAAAAAGCTTTACAATCCAAAGGTTTTTATGTAGTGTTTAGTCTGCACAACATTAGTCCTTTACAAGTCAGATGTGTGTCTGCTGCTTATAGATAATTTGTTTATTAGGTGATTTTTCTGCAATTTTTAAATTTTTGACTTTTTGACATTATCGGTCATGCTAGTAATTAGCAAAACCCTAGGAAATCCTTATTTTTATAGATGCCAGTATGCCGTATTTAAATATAATATTATCATTCCAAATTCTAAAAAGAGATTTTGGATAAGAGATTGTTGACCAGTATAATTATATCTTCCATAATATTGAGCTGTGTACCAGAGTAGCAGAATTGGAAATTGCATCACCTATGATATATACCAGAAAGCATTTGTAATCTGCCAGATTTTTATAATATAATAATTATAAATAAATAAATTTATTTATTTATAATTATTAAATTTATTATGAGATTGCAGCTTAAACCATCTACCTCTATCTAACTTTCTTTGGCTAGAGGTAAGTGGTTTAACCTGCAGTTTAATGATAAATTCATGATTATTAATTAGCCTTAATATAGCTCGATAAGAAAAATTCTGACAGATTGTTTGGTATTATTAAATGAATATTATTTCAGACCTTGGCTTGCCAGTACTGTTAATGAATACTGTTTCAAGAACTTTCCATTTGGTAGATTTGGTAGCTATAGAAACAAAAAATAGAGAGTTTATGGCGTAATTACTCCTGAAAAACATAACATGAACAGTTATTTTTCATTAAATAAGTTTTAAATATTTTAGAAGTACATCTTGAGCTTTAATAACAGCTTTTCAATGCTCCTATGTGGAGTGGATGAGTTTCTTCAGGTATTCTATATCAAGCTCTTATAGTATGTTCATGTAGTTTGTAATTATTTTCAGGCTTCACCTCTGCAATTGTTGTGCCCACGATATGCTAGCAGTTCTCAACAGATTGAAATCAGAACTGATCAGCATAAGCATCTGATTTCAGTTTCTTGTAGGAACTTTTTACTTAATGCATCTGTTAGTGTTATTGTCACTTAATGACAATAACACTAACAGACTATAGTGAGCAAAATATAATACAGTATATCCTTTCTCTGTCTTGAAACAGAGGCCATGGTGCAGAGTCATCTAGGAGAATGCAGGATTTTGTGTCACAAAACTGTTTTGTAATTGCTGAAATTAGCTTGGCAGATAAGATGTTTTTGTAGCACTCTGCATTCACAGACCCATTTATAAAGTTCAGTTTTCCAACGCCTTTGCTGGATATGCATCTCCACATCTTTTGACTAATCGGAAACTTTACTCTCTGAATCAAGCAATCCCTGTTATAAACCTTGTCTTTTCTATTACTAATGTACGGTTCTACTGTCAGATTCTTGCAAGTTAATTTTAAATTTATCCTAAAACATAACAGATTCAAATGCTGAAGTCCGCGTGCTGTTTAATCCATATAAGCTGCAGTTAAACCGTTTACTCAATGGTAATGGCTTGGTACGACAATAAGCTTATAAGCCCATGTTATACAGATGACATTACAAATCTTGCATTCAGCTTTTATACCAATGGATGATATAGTACTAGGACTTTGCAAGTTAATGAAAAGCGTTCTCCTGTCTATGGCATCATGGAGGATGCAATCTTTACAGTTTCTTGCTGATCTACAATAAAATGATA